GCCTTGGTAAGCTCCCACCTAGAGTACTGTGCCTAGTTCTGTGCACCACAGTTTAAGAAGAATATTGACAAACCGGAACATGTCCAGAGGAGGGTGATCCTTTCATGGGGAGCGGGGCTTGATGAAGCCCCTTCAGCCTCTACAATTCTATGAAGGTAAATGGTACCCATGGTTTGCTGCACAGCTCTGCAGACACTTTCCTGTCGTTCACTTGCTCTCTGATGGTGGTATCTTATGGGATAGGGTACCCCACCTTTTCCCGATGGGGACCATTTCCCATTAGTTGCTGCGCATCAGGAAGACAATGTTGTACGTGTAGTTTCTCCTGCCAAGGGGATGCCAGGAAGGAAGTGAGGCAAAGTAGTGCAGAAATAAGATAGCCTGCCAACCTGCTGGCAATTGCCTAGACTAGCGGATTACCGCTGCCCACTCCTCTTATATGCGGACGACGCGGTAATTCTATCTTATACACGTGTTGGACTAACCAGAGCTCTGAAGATCTTTGCCACGTATTGCCAACTCAACCAATTAACCATCAACCATGCTAAGTCCAAGATTCTGATTTTCTCCAGAAGCCGGAGATTATACAAATGGAAGCTTGGTGGAGCAAAAATAGAGCAAGTCCTAAAATTTCAATATCTAGGAGTTATTTTTCAATACAACTTGGGATGGAAAGCTCAAATTCAACACCTACTTAACAAGGCCAAAACCCTGTCATATGCGCTCCTCCGATTTTTCTTTTCGGATGGAGCTCTGCATGTTCCCTCGGCCCTAAAGGTGTTCAAGGCAAAAGTGGTTGCAGTGCTTGCTTATGCTGCCCCGCTCTGGGCCGTGATGACAGATCTTGCTCCCCTTGAGACTCTGCAAAGCCAATTCCTACGTCGGCTCCTAATGCTCCCCCTGTGCGTAAGCAACGCAGCCATGCGACTAGAATTGAAGATCGCATCCTTAGAAACTTGCCTGTGGAAGCAAGTCTTCAATTACTGGTTATCATTGTGGCATAGATTACCAAACCATTATCTTGTCCAATGCTTATGGCGAGATGAATTCTCCAGCCTTTGGACTAGTAGAATTCATGCCAAACTCCTGAGTTATGGAATCTCTCCCTCAGATTCCCTAAAACTAGACCAAATCACTGCTCAAAGACAGATCCGTCAAAGACTGGATGACATCGACTTACAGCAAAATTATATGCTGGGGGAGGTGTTTGTTCGCCCCAGAACATTGGTATCACTTTAACTTATTGCGTTCCATCATACCTCTCCTCCCTTTCGACTGTTGCCCATAGACTGGCCTTCACCAAAGCGAGGTTCAACGTTTTCCCCTCCAATGTCCTGAGACATAGATTCTCAAAGGGCCAAGCCCCCGCCACGTGCGAATGTGATAAGGTGACGCCGGAGTCGCTTCAGCACATTATGTTCACTTGCCCCTTGTTCAATGTGCCACGGGCAAATTTGTTGGGATCAATCATACAGAAACTAGAGGGTACCCCACCAAAATTCCACCTTGCCCAAATCTTGCAGGATAAGGATTCCCACACGACCCTGAAAGTGGCTAGGTTCCTGGTCGCTGTCCTCTCCCAAAAGCGACGCCAAGGAGCGCTACAAGCTAATTAAGGCGTAGCATGCCTTTCCATCTTATAGTATTTTATTGTTATAGTGGTGTTTTAGCGACTGTTTTTTTTCTTTTCCCCACGGCACAAGCTGTCACTTATGTGTTGTTTTTACCCGTATGGGCCTATGGCTGTAATAAATATTATCTATCTGCTGGCAATTGCTTGGAACTGATAGGTTTGGGAGTTGGTGTAAGGAGCAGGGTTGATTTTGACACCAGCAGAAACCTTAACACAGGGGGTCCACCCTAGACAGCAAGTCCCAGAAGACTCCGTTTTCATGAGCCTACAAGTCTCAGTCCAGCCAGCAGCGTGGCACAACAGGAATAAACCAAAAAGAAACAAAAACTTTAAAAGACCAGCAGAGAATGAGAACCTGCCCTTAAACACCTTTAGCGCCTTTCCTTATCTGCCTTTTTTAGTTCAAAGTAATCTTGCTTTTTTTTATTGATTTTCCCTTCCCTGAGCCAGGAAATTTCTGGCATATTTTCTCACCTAGGTGCAGCTAGGGGCAAAGGTAGGATTAGTATCAAAACATTTTGTGTCTGACAAAGGATATTTTGTATGTCTGATATTGTGGAGGGATTTAGGGAAAGGGTTTGGGCGGCTGGCCAGACCAGGCTAAGGTACAGCCCTCATCCACAGGGTGCAAGGGCTGCCAACTTATCTGTGGCCTCACTGCTCCATGCTGGCTTCCCTCACCTCTCTCACTCGCTTCCCGAACACACAGCATTCCTCACACTTTAGATCCTCAGCTGATGGCTTCTGTCTCCTCTTCACTGCTGATGAATATGAGGGTATGTATTACTCAACATACCCTCATGTATGTATTACTCAACATACCCTCATGTATGTATTACTCAACTCAGGTTCTTCAGCTGGGGAGGGGTCTGCCATGCAGCTGCAGACCACATACACTCCAGGTTGTTGGTTTATTCATATATGAATTTTTGCTCCAATTTTCTAGGCAGATGATTATGATGAGGATTTTAAACACACGAGCCTGCTCACATTAAGGCCTCTAGGTGATTTACAATAAAATGTATTCACTGCTTAATTTTTGCTCCACCTTTCAAGGCAAACAATAATGATGATATAAAATATATGAATCTGTTCGCACTAAGGCCTTCAGGCGCCTTGCGATAAAATTGATTAAGACCATCCAGTAGGGACAATATAAACCCTGCACTAAACATAACAAAAACAAACATTTAGAAAACAAACTTAACAGTGAAATACCCTCCTCAAGCCTAACTGTAATCTCCAGAAGACTGAACAATTATGACGTGAAAAGCACTGAGTCTTACAGGATGTTGAAGTTGTTAAGAAGTCTGGGAGAAAAGGAAGGTGTTTGCAGATATGTCAATGTGGGTGCAAAGGTGACCTCTTAGGAGGAATGGCAGCTTGCCCCCAGGCCTTGCAGCATTTTGGGAAACCCAGCAGCTTGTAATATTTCTCCCACTGCTACCTGCTAGAACTACAGACATGCAAGCTATCATCAGTGACAAAGGCTCTTGCAAAGTGCACAGGTTGGGAACCTGCAGCCCACCAGATGTGGCTGGGTGTCATGGACTCGTCGGATGCAGATGAAGAGGAATGGTGGGAGGAACCAGTTGGGGAACAACTCAGGGAAGAGGGCTCAAAGCCTGGGGATTGGTGGTGGGATGACAATACATGGTTAGAGGGAGAAGAGGGAGAAGCTTGAGAGGAGGAGGTCTTGGAAGCTGAAGAGGTAACAGGGCTTAGTGAGCTGGGAGAGTCTGTGGCAGACTGAAGTCCAGAAACAGAAGCAGAGGAGGAGGGAGGCCAAGATGAGTCAGGTTGGTGAAGAATCCAGAGTGTCTCCCCCTCCTGCTGTGACAATTTCCCCTACCCCCTGGTCTCCCAGAACCAGAAGAGGCATGAAAAGGGCAGAGGAGAGGTTGGCTTCATGCAGGCACTATCTCTGGTTGCTTGGGGAAATCCACAGAGATCTAAGGGTATTTAGATAGCAGAGGGAAGGTGGGGACTTGCAGCCTCGGCAACTGATCCATGGGGGCAAGACCTTCCGGGGATAAGCTGTTGTGCTCATTAGGCCTGACACTCCACCAAGTCTATGCAGATTGTGTTCTTGCTAATAAAGAGAATTAACGTCAACTTAAATGGTGTGATTTACTGCTGGCTCTCTCCTGACACTGGGCTACCACTCCTGTCATTCTTGACCAGTGGCCATGCTGGCTGAGGCTGATGGGATTTGGAGTCCAGCAACATTTGGAGGGCCACAGTTTCTCCATTTCTCGCCTAATGTTGGACCCAGGGAGACCAAGGTTCAAATCTTCACTTGGCTCATTAGCTGAGGTTGGACTGGTCACTCCTTCTCAGCCTAACCTACCACATAGGGCTGTAATGAAGATAAAGGAGGGGATGAATATGTAAGCTGTCCTGAGCTCCCTTGCAGATGTGCAGAATCAATATATAACAAAATAAACAATTGGTTAAAAGTGATTGTTTCACAATTATAGCTATCTAATTTTTGTATTAGTACAAGTATCAAAACCAGTCTATGATTCGATTGTTCACTGTTCTCATAATGCTAACACTTTGGGATTCCATCCTTACAAAAGTCCACAAAATTACTGGCCAGCACCTACAAAAGACAAGTGAGTTAGCCCTGCTGAACATTTTTCAGGCAAAAACTTAAACGTTCACTTTAAACCAATAATTGGATAGTTTCTGGTAGTGGCCAGGTTGTTGACTGCCAGATTTTGGAAGGGATTGGGAGAGGCAACTCTGATGACATGGTACCAAAAGCAGATTCCTCTAAATGAAAAAATTGCAAATAAGCTAAAAATGGCAAGAGGGGGGAAAGAAAAAAGTCACAGATAACTTTATGGCAGAATGGCAATGTTTTGTTATACATATGGACAAGACAGACAACGGGTGACTTCTAAAGCATATAGAACATTTTGCTTAGTTTGATTTCTGATACTGGGCTATTTTTATTCTATTGCATTGGATAAGATGGCTTGTCTCTGCTTTTTGATGGGTTGCATAACATGGTTATATTCTGTGCTTCACCATAGTTACTAAGTGGGGAGAGGTTTTTGTTGTATATTTTCTGATGTTGCATATGTTTAACCTTAAGAAGAAAAGCAATAAAAATAAATTCATAAACAAATTGTTGATGCTTTTAAAATACTGGACCATATTTGACAAAATTTGACGAGTGAGTTGACCAAATTTTGTACTCCTGGTGAAACGTCCAACTCTAGCTGACTCTGCCATGTTTTGAATTGAAATGACTAAATAGTGAAAAGTTTCCATAAGTCTTTGTTCCCTTCCTTAGCCAGAAAGTGTTTTCATGCAGGTATCTCTCACAGCAGAAACATTTCTAAGAGACGTCTCTTACCATATGAACTCGGTAAAGAATGCTAATCCCCAGAGTCATAAACGGCTTGGAGAAATCAATCACCTTCTCTCGTTCGGCTGTAATCGTCAGGCCAGCCACTGCCAAATCAGCTTTCTAAAAAGAAGAGAACATAGTGAAGATCAATATCTCTTCCCCAAGAGATATGAGGGCAGGAGGCAGCAAAGGAGTATGGAGTGACTGGTCTCCAAAAGACTTCTCATTCAGAGGTCAGACTTAGCAAGAGGCAAGAGGCCAATTCCAAATGCCATAGGTGTAGATAGCCTCACAACAACACTGTGAGGTAGGTTCAGCTGAGAAATAGTGACTAACTCCAGGTCACCCAAGAGTCCTGAGCTCTGAAGATGCAGACAATTGAGTCCTGAAAGCCCTCCAGGAAGCAGACTCCAAAGATCTCAATAGAAGCTTCACTGGAGAGTGAGAACTCTATCCCTGATTTCAGAGGAGATAGTTTAGCCCTTCTTTGGACTCAGGAAACTCTTCCTCCAAACCATCAGCAGCCACAGAGCAACCTCTTCCTCCAACCTTCCAGGCCCAAGGGCTGCAAGAGGTATCCCGATTCTGGAATACTCACATGCTGTATAATAGAATGGGGCCCCTTTAACTTCCAGGGAGGCTTCCTCCAGAGAGATGGCTCTTGACACACACAGAACTACGTAAATCGCTAGCCAGCTTCAGATGCACATGGGAGCAATGGCTCCCAGCTCCTCTGGCCTGGGTGACACATGTTGCAGAATGAGGTGGCCACGAGATGGAATAGCACTGTGATGGAATAATGGATTTCATGTGGGTAGGAGAAATCACAAATGTGTAATACTCTGTGTTAAAAGGGGAGGAAAAACCTAATGCTCTCTGCAATCTGACAAGTAGCTCAGGAAGGGCTGGGACCTTTCTTCCTGATGTGCTGGGTTGTTGTGGTTTGGGCTGGTATTTTGATACTGTCAGGAAGATTGGTACTAGGGCTGTGCACCCAGTCTGGACAAATCCCAGGTCCCATCTCCTTTCCCTCTCACCTTGCTTGCTGCCAGCTGAATGCTTAATTAGGATTTAAAACATGGATTCAATATGCAGTTGTGGGCAGGGGAAAGGGAGTGCAGGAGATGGTCCAGGCACGAGTCTCTACTATTACCATCTTCTCCCCCACCCTTCTCACTGGCACCCCATGTACTAATTAGGGCTCTCCAAGCCCCCTGATTTGGGTTTGGGGCCTGGGTTAGGTCTGGCCCAGATTGGGGCCTGAATTGTGTCAGAGGTGCCTTGCACAGCCCTACTTATTACGTGGGAAAACAGTAACAAGGCAACCCTACCTACAGTCTGAAGTGAGTCTCCATCATCTCAGGATTTTGCCAACCCATTCTGCTACATGTAAAGGCCAGATTTCCTTTTGTGCTGCACTTTCCAGGCATAGGTCTGTGCTTTTCAGGTTTGTGTCCAAGTGACATGTTGCTGTTGTTGTTCCACTGCTTTCCCCAGGAAAACCTACTGTTTACCACTGAATTGGTTTTCCCAGGAAAAGTGGCAGGACCAAAAAGAAAAACACCACTCAGATACGGACCTGGAAAGAGTGGGTCTTTATCTGAAAGTGTGGTGCAGAAGAAAGTCTGAACGAACCCTGAGGGCTTATCCACACATATTTTGCCCTGCACTTTCTAGGCACAGCCCCACACTTTACCTGTTTGTATCCATGTGCTTCCCCTGTCCCACCCTGCTATGACACTTTCCCTAAGGAAACATGATCTTTACCAATGGACCAGAGTAAACAACAATTTGGGTTTTCCACCTATTGCTCAGACCTGGAAGGCTCAGACCTGTGCCTACAGTAGATATGCAGGGCAATGAGTGAGCCCAGAGTGTGCTACCTGGTTCTACAGGAGCTCTCCATGGTCCCGAATCTCTGCTCCCCTGACTACCACTTTGCCAGACTTAGCCAGAATATCCCTAGAGGGCTCCAGCCTTTGTAGCTCTGTACTGCATTCTCCTTGCACTAATGAAGCCCATGACACTGATTGGCTGATGGATCTGCTGTGAGCTGCTTATCCCCTGAGATTTGTTTCTGACAGTTCTCCCTCACATTTCTATATCAGAATATAATCAAGGCAGTTGTAAAAATATAATCAAAGCTTGGGTGGAGAGTGGGATGACTCCTTTGCATCTGAAGGTCTATGATCCAACAAGAACCATGGGTTAGTTTTAGTTATCTTTCCCTCCCTGGACTTCACTATGGGCTGTGCAATACCCTCTGCATCCCAGGATGGATGCTGTCCAATTACATTGCTGCCCAGGTACAGGAGGCAGGATGTGAAGAAACTACCTAGTGCTGGACATGCAAATACCTTCCCTCAAGGAAACAGATGTCACATGTTCTCAGGACCCTTCAGGAAAGGGGTGTGACTCAGTGGTGGATCAGTGGTGGATTGATCCCAGATTCAATCCCCAATGGCATCTCTGGGTAGGGCTGAGGGAACCTCCCGTTGCCTGAAACCCTGGAGAGTGAGATGCTGTCAGTCAGTGCAGGCAGTTCTGAGCTAGACGGACCGATGGTCTGAATTATTCATTTATTCATTGCATTTATTTGTATCCATCCTTCCTCTCCAAGGAGCTCAAGGTGGTGTACATGACTCTCCCCCTCCTCTTTTAATCTGCAAAACCACCTTGTGAGGTAGTTTAGGCTGGGAGACAGTGACTGGCCCAAGGTCATCCAGTGAGCTTCATGGCTGAGTAGGGGTTTGAACCCTGGTCTCCCAGGTCCTAGTCTGATACGCTAACCAATACACCACACTGGGTCCCAGTACATGGCAGCTTTCCATGTTCGTAAACCATGACATACCATTGCTGGGGGCAGTGGTGGTTGGTGGTCATTGGAATTGGTATAGACACAAGGTAGGAAGACCAACAGTAGGGGGAGCCAGAGTCAATGACAGGCAGACACAATTAAATCTATTTCTGTCTCCATCCTCCTCCTCACTCTCCTCCTCCTTCTACCCCTTGCTGAGTTCTAGGAGGGAAAACACTGAGAAAGCTGACAGGCAGGGCCAACACCCTGGATTGGATTTAAGTAGGGAGGGAGGGAGGCAGGTGGGGCTGACTGAGGGCAGACAGAGGTTGGTAGGGCCATGCCCCATTCACCTTGTTGGGCCTGCCTCCACTGGCTGGAGGGTAATGCGATCATTTCCCATGGGGCAATAAATATTTTTCAATGGGAAGTTGCTGCAGCTGCTGCTGCCACCATCACCACCCTCAGCTAAAAAAGACCTTGCAGGAAATGAAGACGTGAGATGCATCTACCCTCAGCTCACCCACAAACGGAGGAGGAGATGTTGCACTCTTTGATGAAAAATAAGAGCTGTCAATGGTGCAATGCAAATGAATATTTTAAAAACTCTTTCCAATTTAATCATCATGTAACCGAGATAAGGATTTTAATTTTAAATATGATTTTTATTACTATCGCTTTCTTGTAATGGGATGGAATTGCTTAAAAAAAAAAAAGAATTAAAAATGGGGAGGACCGCACTGCCTCCCTCACTTGTCAGTATTACTTGCAAGGTATGAGGCAGCTGTGCTGCTTCTGAAAATGGATTGCTGAATATACTAACTTGCACTTCATGCCCCTGGGCTTCATGGGCTCCTTGCTGTAGAGAGACTTGTGAGACATTAAATGGGGAATTTATCACCCAGGATTCATAACTCAAGTTGTAAACATGACATGGCAGGTGTGTTGTATGTGCACCTCGCAGTGTTGGGTGCCTGATCTTGCCACTCTGCCAGATATCTATATCATCTATATCTATATCTATATCTATATCTATATCTATATATCTATATCTATACACTGAGTCAATCTCCTTTCTGATCGGGGCTTGCAAAACCTTTCAAGCCATCACCCGCTTACAAAAGACGACTCTCTGTGAGACGGCTATAAAAAGCGGGTGAAGAGAAAACAAAAGTCTTGGCTTGTGCGAACATCTCCTTTATTGCCCTTCTAGGAGAATAACATAAAATAAAAACCAGATGAAAAAGAAGAAGCTGGCGGTACATGAGCATAGCACACGGGTCAAGACAGCAGCAATATTTCAGTCTGGTCATCCAAAGATGACTTGAGCTATTTCTAAAGGTGCAGCTAAAGTGGGGCCAACTACAGAAGCCCTCCTTTACACACCCTGAGCTTTAAATCTGTAAATGGCTTGGGTCCTAGATACCTGGAGGCCTGGTCTCCTCCCCTAGGAGCCCACCTGTGCACTTTGGGCATCAGGAAAGGCCCTAATTGTGTTCCCATAGTTGTCTTGCATAGGGACATAAGAAGGGTCTGTCTATTCCTGCATCCTGGCCTGGCATCTGGCCAATGAGATCCCTGTGGGAAGAATGCAAGTGCAGGAGGTAACAGCAATCTCCCCAGTCTTTGGCGCGGTGGGTGGGCACATCAAGAAGGACCTTCTCATTGATGGTGCCCAGCTTGTGGAATTATTTTCCGTTGCTCAACCACCACCACCTTTACCTGTCTTCAGCTGGAGCTCTCTCCCTCAACTAATCCCTAGTATTATAGTACAGTTTATTCCATATCTTTCTTCTCTTCTCAGTAAGCCAGACAGACATTTTGCAGAGAGACATTCTGCCTATCGTTGTTTCTGAAACACTACCATCAAATATATATATAAAATCATGACCATCGTGTGTCCTTTAACACATGCCAATAATCAAATCTCCTGGGGGCCCTTGAAGATGTAGCCAGAGCTATAGAGTCTGGATTCTAGCCAATGCTCACCCTACACTGAGTTGACCCACTGAAATTAATGACTGTAACTTAGGTCCATTAGTTTCCACTGGTCTGCTCTGGGTGAAACTGCCCCTTCTGCCAACCAGCTCCTAAACAGGGATCAAAAACTGGTGCAATGCCGTATCTTTGATTCTGCAATAAGCAGTGGAAAACTGGAGAAATAGCACCCCCATGGAAGTCCCTCCTTCTCTGCCCCCCCCGTTACAAAATCTTGGTTTCGCATTCAGTCTTATGTAGAACCCTGTGTATACTGAAGCAGATTATAATAATTCCAGAAGGCAGCCCTGCCTGTGGCGGCGCAGATTTTAAAAAAGTCCTATTA